CCTTAGAGGTAAGGGACAGGACAGGACAGAAAGAGAAACAGGGTGGCCTTAGAGGTAAGGGACAGGACAGGACAGAAAGAGAAACAGGGTGGCCTCCGTGCTAACACCCAGGACAGGACAGCGTTCAGACCTGCCGTTCGCAGGGTCACTATGAGTTCTACTTGATGGCACCCAACAACAGCAGTAGCCGCACTGGTAAGAAATCATGCTGCCCACCCAAAGGCACAGAGTTCAAATCCACCAGCTGCTTCATGGAAGAAAGATGGACTATCTCCTCTTGTGCGATTTACGGCCTCTGCAAACCCCCTGGAGCGTCAGCCGCAGGTCACTTCTGACTCGACAACAAACAGCAACAACAGCTAAGCAGAGACCCTCCGTTGCTTTGAATCTTTTGAAAGACTGGCCTCGGGAGCTCTGGTGGCCTGGTGGCAAGAAGCTGCGCTGCAATCCCAAAGGCGTGTGGTTCGAATCCACCGGATGCTTCGCTGAAGAAGGAGGGACAGTCCCCTCTTGTGTCAGCTGATCTGACTCGACATACACAACAAGATAAAAAAGAACAATAGGAAAAAAGAAATAAGAATATGAAAGCTTGGCCCCCACTGTCCTCCCCACCGTCGTGTAGACTTCCTGCTGACAAGCACTGATTTCTGCCTCACCGTCTGGCTCTGCTGGTGGTGCCCGGCCGGCTTTCATTGTGGGTTAGAACGCCTCGACGAGCGTGCAAGGCTACTATTATTTCCTGCGGTTTGGTCTGAAAAAGAATGAAAGGCGGCCTTTTCGACACGACCCCGTAAAAGTGCTGCCGTTCATTTGTAAAGATTTTTTTTTCTAGGAATATAAACTCCCATTTAAATAATTGCTGTGGAGGGTGGCAGAAAGGACTTTGGAATTTGGAAATGGTAACAACTCACTGTTCTCTCTTAGCAACCAGAACGAAGGGGACACGTCTCTCTGGGTTTTTCCTGAGGGGGGCTGACACTGGAATGCATGGGTTTGCTGTTTGATGCCGTTTTTAAATCCTGCACCCAGTTTAGAGGGGAACTGAGGTGCGAGGTGCTGTGAAGTGGTTTTTCCCTCAGAAACACAGAGAGAGAACAAAGATAGAAGGCAGGTAGGCTTCTGGTGCACCTGTAGGATGTCGGGGTGGCGGGGATGTGGTGCTTTCCAGCGTGAACCTGCCTGGGCCTGGGCTGGCCCAGCTGCTCCAGGCTTCTGTCAGATAGGAGATCACACTCCAGGTCCCGTCGAGGCTGGGCTCCTCAGTGCTTCATTCAGGAGTGCCGTGGAGTCTTTCATGGTGTGGGGTTTGTTTAAAGGCAGAATCCGTCTGTGTGCTGTGGTTCTTTCAAAGCGTCCACCTCACCCTCCTCTCACCCCTGTTCTTACTGCAGCTGCTGAGATGGGTTGCGGCTTGAACAAGTTAGAGAAACGGGATGAGAAGCGGCCTGGGAATATTTATTCAACGCTAAAGAGGCCCCAGGTGGAGACCAAGATCGACGTGGCCTATGAGTACCGCTTCCTGGAGTTCACCACCCTGAGTGCCGGTGAGTGATGGGCGGCCGTGATGGTGACCGGGAGCTGGGCCACACACGCTGGCCTTGAGCTGGGGTCCTCCCCCCCGCAGGTGCAGCCAGCCCTGGCAGGGACCTGAGCATCTGGAGGTCCCCCCCACAGGTGCAGCAGGGCCTGGCAGAGACCTGGGCAGCTGGAGGTCTCCCCCTCCCACGCAGGTGCAGCAGGGCCTGCTGGGGACCTGGGCAGCTGGGGGTCTACCTGTTGCAGGTGCAGTAGGACCTAGTGGGGACCTACGTGGTGATGGGATTTGTGAGGACCTGGAAAAGAAAGGCCTGTCTGAAGGGGAGGGAACTCTGGTGGCCTCACGGGTTAGGAATTATGCTGCCAAACACAAAGGTATGTAGTTGGAATCCCCAGCTGCTCTGTGGGAGAAGGAGGGGCAGTCTCCTTCCATGTGATTTACAGCCTCTGAAAACCCACTGGACAGTCAGCTGTGATTTGGTTACCACTCAGTGGCAATGAGTGTGTTTTGAATTTTATTTCTTTTTTAATAAAAGGGATTGTTTCTAGAAATCTACATGTGAAAGCTCTTGCTTTTTAAAAGATAGCACTTAATTAAAACCACTAATTAAAATGATCCTGCCAGAGGGTCGGCTATGGGTCGGTTCCGACTCTACGGTATACAACAACGATTAAAATGATAATACCAAAAGTTAGGGTCACTTATTGTAAACTAGAAAGATGTGTCTGCGGATCCGAGGGGGAGATGTTTGGGAACACAGGGGTGAGGACGGGCAGGGGGAAATCACAGGGTCGCACTAGTTGGTGGGTGGCGGGAAGGAGATGAAGGAAGGTGGAGGGATCAGCAGGGATCTGGAAAGACAGGAGAATGATGGGCGTTGTTCAGTGGTGGTTGATTTTATAAAATATAATGCATGGAATGATTGTGTGAAACACAGTGTGAGTGAAGGATAGGGTGAGACACAATGTATACAAACGTGTAAGCAAACTAGTATAAAATAAAAATGTTAAACAAACAAAAACTCAGGGTCTATCACACAAGGGGCTGAGTGTGGCCTGCGGGGCCCCAGTTTGCAAACTCTGTTTCTCAGCTGAAGTAGGGGGCACAGTTGTAAACCAAACACATCCAGGCTCCTGGATGTGCGTGGCGGCCCTGCTGCAGGTTACCTGGAAAACCACCAAGTTCTAAGGTCCATGTCCTCCCTACCTCCTGTCAGGCCCGTTATCAAGGGTCTCTCTCTCACCGCCGTCAGGGAGGGGCCAGCTCATTGCATTTCCGAGGCTGTAAATCGTGGGGGAGGAGATTGCCTGTGTGTTTCCCATGGAGCCACTGGTGATCTGAACTGTCAGAGGGACATCATGCTGTATAGCTTCCCTGTCTGCACCACCAGTGCTCCCTGCTCAGTGCTCCCTGCATAGAGTTGTTCTGTGCCATTGAGTCTGAACTGACCCATAGCTGACCCTCCTGTGGGTTTTCAGAGGCTGTAAATACCGTGGAAGGAGACTACCTGTATTTCTCTCATGGAAAAGCTGGTGAATTTGAACTGTGTGCCTTTGTGATTGCCTTTGTGTATGGAATTGTTGCTGTTGTTGTTATGTGCCATCAAGTTGCCTGCAACTCATAGAGACCCTATGTACAACAGCCCTAAACCCTGCTCTATCCTGTGCCAACCTTATTGTCTCTGAAACACCTATCCCCATTACCCCAGTCACTGAATCAATCCATCTCATTGAGGGTGTTTCTCTCCTGTGCTGTCCCTCCACCCTCCCGAGCATGACGTCCCTCTCCAAGGACTGGTCCCTCCTTGCAACATATCCAGAGTATGTCAGACGAAGCTTCAGAATCCTTGACTCCAAGGAGCAACTTGGTTTCACCCTCTCCAGGACGAACCTGTTTGTTACAGGGAGAGCTAATATTGTAACTGTCACTACCACCTCTAGTCTATTGTCACCCCACCTGAAGTGTCTCTGCCATGACATTCCACATTCCCTCCACGTTCCCAAAGTCCACCCAGCCTTCTCCTCATCCAGGTGGGTGGGTGGACGCCCTTCAGGCACCTTTGGTGGACACATCACCTTCCTGTTCAGCTGGTCTGACCTTCCTAGTGCGTGCCCACAGTTCCTGTCCCATTCACTGTGCCTCTGAAATGACTTCTGAAAAGGCTCCTGATGGCGCTGACGTGAGGCTCAGCAAGTCCAGACGCAAATCATTCCGGCTCCTTGGCCGTCCAGTTCAGTGAATATTAGCGTGTCTAGGCCTTGTGGAGTGATTCAGGGAAAAAAGATATAATAAAAAGCATGTTCAGAAAAAAGATCACAAGGAAGCATGCAGAATGGTAACTTGCTTGTGAAGATGGGGAGGTTGTGGGGGGTTCTGTTTGTCTTTCTGCACTGGGGTGTAGGTTTTCTTCTTAGGAAACCTTACTGTCCCGGAGGAGGTCTCCGTCTGCCCTGGCCTCATTTCTCATCCTCTCAGCTGCTTCAGGAACCTCCCTCCTCGCCACCCGTCACGGCACCCTCACTGCTCCTCCCCGTCTATATTCTGATTTTGTTTCCTGACTATAAGATGAGCTTGTGTCCGTTAGGAACCCTGGTGGCCTAGTGGTAAGGAGCTACGTCGCCAGAAGGCACGTGGTTCAAATCCACCAGCTGCTCCATGAGAAAAAGATAAACAGTCTCCTCTCGTGCGATTTACAGCCTCTAGAAAGCTGCTGGAGGGCCAGCCATGGTCAGTCCTGACTCCACAGCAACGAGTGCGTGATTCTCTGCTGGACCCAGCGTGCCCGGCTCATAGTAGACGATCCATCAACAGTTCAAAGGCTGTTGGATGGATCCTTTGTGTATATTTTGCATCTTCCTTTGCATTGTTGTCCTCAAAATCGACTAAACAGATCCTCACAACAGTAACAGCGTGGCACACACCCTGTCATGACACAGTCTCTGAAGATACGATTTAACGGCTGCGTGTGACTCAGTCGCACTGCAGACATCGTTCATTTAGCCCCTTTTATTGGGCATTTATGTTATTTTGAGCTTTGGGCAGGCTATACATTAGGTTGTGATAAGCAATACCGAGTGTTAATCATTGGCCTCATTTTTTTATTATTTCCTTGGGAATTTTGGACATCAGGACTCGTGACAAATTGGCAGCTTGCCCTCCAAGCAGGATCTGTTTTCTCCAACATGACCTGATCCTGCCACCCCTTTGTCTGGCTCTCAGGACAAGTGCGGCTGGGACCAGGCTGGCTACTCAGCTTGGCCTTGTGCTTGGCATAGTCTCCCACCTTTCCCGTGAGGGACCGTGTGCTGTGGTCACTGCAGTGACCAATGCTGCCCCAGGACACCGCTCCAAGCACTCTGCCTCAGCCCAGGGCCCCACCACCCTCTGCTGCCTGCCATACCCCATTCTCTCCTCAAATCCTGACTGAATTGTTCTTTCTTGAATCCAGACAATCAGAATGGCTCTCTTCTGTGGCTGTGAGGTTAATCATGGAATTGTGGTAGCAGCAGTCAGCATATCAGAAGGTCTGTTCTCAAGGACCCCTACAAAGTGCCAAAGGGCAACGGTGTCAGTTTAAAAACTAAGGTGGGCCTGCCCCAAGCCATGGTGTTTTCACTTTCTTCTTTTTGCGTCTGAAAGTTGGACAGTAACTGAGGATGACAGAAGGGTCATGCTTGTTTTTGTGCTGTGGTCTTGGAGAAGGGTGCGGAGTATCCCATCGAATATCAGAGGAACAAACAAGTCTGTCTTGGAGGAAGTGTGACCAGGGTGCCCTTACAAGCCAGCGTGGTCAGACTTGATCTCACACACTATGGGCTTGCTGTCAGGAGAGGCGTCCTTAGAAAAAGATGTCATACTAGAAAAGGTGGAGGGTCAGAGAGAGAGGACGACCTTCAACAGGATGGATACAGTGACCGTAACAGTGGGCTGGATGAGGAAGGTGCAGATCTGTTGTTCACACGGTGGCTCCGAGCGAGTCGTAGTGGTTTTAACAGCTCATACAATAACATCAGCGCCCTTTGCCACTATGGCTCTGTGACTCATTGGAGTTTGCATTCAAGTTTGCCCATATGTTAAACTTGACTGTTTCCTTGAAGGTGGAGACTGAGCCTTGCTTGTCTTTCTGTCTCCAGCCAGGAGTGGTTGACCTTGACCTTCTTTAGAGGAAATGCTTATTTCATGTGCCGCTGTGGTCTCCGACAGCCCTCCGAGGTGTTTTGCTGTGTGTTTTTTATAGTAAGGTTGTTCTTTGTGGCTCTAGAGGGGACGTTGTTGAGTGCCAGACTCCGTGTTGGAGAACTTGACTCCTGATCTCATTTCATTCCTAATTATTTTTCTGTTTTATTCATGTTCACTGAGGGACACACACGCTGAGTGTCCGTGCCCGTGAAGCCATCCCAGTGGAGATGCAGAACACTGCTGCCACCCCTGCCCCACCCGCCCCACCCCCTCGCGACCACTCATCTGCTTTGTTTCCTAGAATTTTCTGTACGTGGAGCCCTACTGTGTGCCGTCTTGTTTATCTGGCTTCTCTGCCTTAGCAGGAAAGAGCCCTGGTGGCGCAGAGGTGAAGATGCGTAGCTGCTAACCTCAGGGTTGGTGGTCTGCATCCGTCGGCTGTCCAGTGGGAGGAGGGTGAACCGGCCGTCTTACGACTTACAGCCTCAGGGCCCCGGGGACGCTCTCTGCTGTCCGGCAGGGGCTGTGAGCTGGACTCACTCGGTGGCAGCAGGTTGTGGGAGACTTCACACACGTATTTTGAGACCCCTTTTTTGGCTGAGTGTACCCCAGGTTCTGTCACCCGGTAGTGATGGCTCAGGGTAGGACAGCTTCAGGTCTGTGTTCGTGTGGTCACTCTGAGTCGTACTTGAGTCGAGGGCACATAACGTCAGCGGTGTTCCTTTAGGGGTCACTGGTGGTCGAGCGCTAAGGATGTGTGCTGTCAACCCCGAGGTGGGCGGTACGAATCCTGCTCTGAGGAAGACGGTGGGCAGTGTCCCCTGGTGC